GGAATAAATTAAAAATAATAAAAAAGATCACTGAGGCTGAACGCCCTCTTTTGTCTTGTTTTAATTTATTCCTATTTACTAAATTCGAATGTTCTATTTTCTATGACAACGTTTCTGCAAGTAGGTGTATCTCCAACCACATTTCTGTAAGCTCATAATCTCAAATATTTAATGGGTTTCAACACTGTTACAAGCTAGTAACACATCCTTCGCATATCATTTTAACACAATAAACAAGCCTTGTTCAGCGCGTGCTTCTCTTCACTTAAGTTTCCACAGATCTCTACTACTTCAATGCAGACACTGCTGCACCCATGGCCATGCACACACTCAAGGTTTGTCATAATGCGGACCTAAATTAAATGTCTAAATTAGTTCAATGCACAGGTATAGTGTGTAAGAACTGGCTGCTAGAATGTTCGTCCGAACCCCCCGAACTCCCGGGGATGCTCGTCGTAAATTTTCAAAAATACCCCTAAAAGATCTTAGAAGTATTGAAAAAAGGGCGTGGCTGACTGATTTTTAACCCCTAAGGGATTGCACAACAAATATTGTTACATCAGTTCCAAATGATAAAATGTAATATAAAAATTAGGTAACACCTAATAGCGGAGCTCCAATAGCAATATAGAAGCTGAAAATGATTATCTAGTACTGCTATTTCAAAGGTAGATGCTCTGTTCTAAGGAATGTGAGCTACAACAGTTTTGTTGACATGCGAACAAATATTATAAAGAGTATGTTTATGAGAATTTAGTTCGTACTAATATTGACTTCGGTAGATTTTGTACCGTTGGATGAAGTTTAATATTATAATCTATAAAGGTCAATTGATTAAAAGTAAACTGAAAGCTTCTCGGCAAAAAGTAGTCTACATAAGCTTACAATAATCAACATTGTTTCAATAATCGATGTTTGAACCCGGACTACTCGAACTTCACATATCCACAGAAAACTGTATACAAAAATATATTTTTTACCTTCATTATCGGACTTCTGATAAATTATCGTTCAAAGGTCATCTTCAACAGAGCCATACTTGTTTCAAGCATAGGTTTCATCAATAGATGAGGTGACGGTTTTGTCCGCCATTTTGGACCGGTAGGCATAGTGTCACAAAATAACAAGGAATGACCGGGAAATCGATGTCAAATAATTCTCGCTGAATTCAAATTCAGAAAGAATTATCAATTGCAAACGTTAGATACTACAAAAAGGAGCATACTGGCCAAATTTGAAGGATGTGCTTCGTCTAGGGAGCGAGAAAATTTATTTTTAGTTCTCAATACATTTCTTTGTATTTTTCACGCGCGTCACGCACTGATAACCCCGGAAATTATAACGAAATGTATTGAAATTACAAAGAAATGTATGGAGAACTAAAAATGAGTTTACTCGTTCTCTAGATCAAGTACGCCTTTCAAATTTGGCCAGTTAACTCCTTTTTGCAGTATCTAACGTTTGCAAATGATAATTCTTTCTGAATTTGAATTCAGCGAGAATTATTTGACATCGATTTCCCGGTCATTCCTTGTTATTTTGACACTATGCCTACCGGTCCAAAATGGCGGACAAAACCGTCACCTCATCTATTTGTTAAGTCATTCAAGACTGTAGATTCTTTGTTTTTAATCTCTCTCAATCTAACTGCTAGCATGGTCTTGGTTTCGAAAGGTCCACACTTTTAGTCGACAAAAGAACTTTGCATAGATCCCTACTTTTTTCCCATATTGGTCCATATTATTGAAGTATTTCCAATAAAGTATCATCTCTTTCTTGTCGTCGAAATATCAAAGTAGTAAAATCCTTTTTTCTAATATCACTTTTAAGATGGGCCTAAATTGCTTTTCATCTTCGCAAATCGATTTCCCGGATGTGCGGACGCGTCGAAGTTATGACAAAATTGGCGGGAATATTTCTGTGCTGTTATTTCGCTCTTCAGTGGATTTTTTCCTTGTGATTTATTGTTCTAATATTATCAATATGTAATAGAAATGTTTAAGGAAAAAATTTCGATTTTTCAACAAATACTTGGCGCTTTGTTTCCTTTTCGAGCGGAGTATGGGTTTCCTGTAGTAGTACACGGAATCCAGGACGGAAGGACGGACGGACGGACGGACGGAAGGAAACGTGCGTACGCGCGGGAACCCTGTGTCGGTCCATGGAAAATCGACTCGATGGTATACCATTTTTTCTTAGCTATGGTGCTCCGCTCGCGCGGGCCTTCGGCCCACGCGGGAGCTCCGCTATAAAATATTTAATGTCAAAACAAAACGCGAGGAAAATCAATGTCGATGCGCTCTTTGTCTTCTTTTCGCGACAACCTAAGAGCCAGAAAATGCAAATTTCCAGAAACTGGAAAAATTGAAAATTGGCACCCTAAAARATTTACGATCACGAATTTTTACCCCTAAAAGATCCGACGAGCATCCCCGGTACTTTTACTCCGGATTCCCCTCCTCCCCCCTCTCCGGGCCGATCTCCCCCAGCCTATGGGCCTGGCCAATATCTTTTCAGCTCTTAGTACTATAAACTGTGTTCTTGTCCAGTTGAGTTCCCATCTTATTCATGAGAGAGACAGGTATTTTTTCTTCAGGAAATTTGACTCTTGATATGCAATTTTCATTCGTTCACTGATCTAAAACAATCAGAGAGACAAACAACGTTTTTCACCGTGAAACAACCTCGTTCGCTGTTCTAATTGGACCTACATACGATATGTTTTTACCTACTTGACCGTCTTCGCCGCTTTTGATGTTGTGGACGCGCCCGTTTGAAGATTTTCGTCATCATTGTAGTCGAGTTTTGAGGCCATAATTAATTAATCACATAGTTACTTGAATGAGATTTTTCAAAAATTTTGAATCCTTAATGGTCTTCCTAAGTTTGACTGTAATTTTTTAAAGTGTGCATGTTTGAAGATTATCATCTTAAATGTCGCATTATGTACAGTATGTAGTAAACAATAAACACGATGGAAAGTGCTTTGTACAATTTTTATTCACTCACTCTATCGTTCTTTTTATTGATACTTCACATTACTCTACTTATCTTCTTCTTCAGTAGCGAGTTTTTGATAATCGCCCTCACGTATCTTCATGATCCACTGAACAATCATTGAAAATACCATCACTAAAATGGTCATCCCAGCAAAGATAAGAAATGTGACGGTTTGATCTGTTTTATCCATTAGAAAACCAGCTAAAGCTGGTCCCGCAGCCAGACCGATTCCAGTGTACATGGAATGAAGGAGACCTATAGGAAGTAAAAAATCTGAATTACTTTTGAAACAAAATGAGCAACTTTCTCTTTTAAAGGATATTGAACATATTGAATTTTTAATCAAATGTGATTTCAAACTTGTGATGRTCATTTTCGTAAGTTAGGGCTGGAAGTAATTCAAGTAATTTTAAAGTCCGACAATGAGGACTTGACGGGATTTCAAGTCCGCCGCAATTAGTTCCAGTCCGAGGCGTTAGCCGAACGACTTCTGGTACTCATTCATTATTCGGGAGGGAAAAAAAGGGAAAGAAGTACATAAMCAGAAATATATTGATTTACTGCATMTCCACCAAGGATTTTAGTTTTCATAATTTTGAATACATGAGGCACCGTTTGTTGTTCTTCAATTCCCAATTTGTTTGGTTTTGGCGCCGGGATGAGACTACTCATATTCACTCAGCCAGCAATCGCATTTTCTAATATATATGAATTTTCCTACAATAATTTTGGACCACAAGAATTGACAATTTTTGTACAATCGCAAAACTTTGAGAATATAGCGCAGATTTGTATATAGTTTCTTACTTCTCCCATCCCCATCGCCGTTCAAAGAAGACCAAAAATATTTTCTGAATTGAGTGCCAGCAACACTGTCTAGGGGAAGGGAGGGGACGAGTGTTATGTAGAACATTCTGAATGGTGAATTATTTCGAACCTTCTTATCTATGATTGTAGCAAACGTACCTTGTACAGTTACAGCTAATTCAGGGGGCGCCACTTGTGACATGTAGGATACACAAGCATTAAAGGCGAATGCAAAGCCTGCTCCAGCAAGTATTTCCACAGTAATGCCTAACCACGAAGAACGCATGAAGGCGGCTACAGTAAAACCAATGCCAAATGTCAAGCAAGAAACGCTCATTGTATTTCTGTAGCCAATCTTATGGAGTATTTGCGGAGAAAAGAACGAAACTGCCAACGATGATGTATTTCTAGCAAAATTGGCCACAGCTATGGAAAGATTTGCTTGGTTTTGATCCAAATCGATCATTTTCCAAAAAAGGAAGCTTGAAACGGCACCATGGAAAGCACCAAAAAAGAAGGCGTTAACGAGAAGACTCCAGTTTCCGAGAGGAGTGATGAGGTCCTTGAGAGATGCTTTTTCTGAAGTGCCGTGCTTCTTATGGTCATCACCTTTTGAAGAAGGGAAGTGAACTGCAAAAATCCCCAAAAGCCARCCTGTSGCTGAGATGATGGATGTCATGTAAAGGGCCAACTTGTAGTCTCCTACAGACTCTCCACATATTTCAACTGTCTTAAAGTATGTCARAATTGCAGCCAAAGGAATTGTCACAGCTTGACTAACGTTACCCCAAGCACGAAATCTGCCATATTGTTTCTTGTCTTCAGAAGCTTCTACAAGGACAGTATCGGCAAGATTAATTGCAGCCCCTGAAAAGAAATCGCTTATTATAATGATGATAAGCAATGAGATGAAAAGCCATTTCTTTCTGTTAYTGTTTTCTTTGAATGTCGGCATRTTCACCATTTTAGTGAGTTTCTTKGGAGAAGGTCCTTCGCCGTCAAAGGAATCTAGTGAATTGTGGCCATTGCCACGAATCATMCTTTTTTGACCTTGGTATATTTGTAAACGTTCAGATTTCAGTCCATTTTCACGGTTTCTTTGCACCTCACTAACTAGTTCAGGAGAATCTAAAATATATGTTGAAGTCTTGTAGTGTGAGAGTATTGTAGAATTTGTGAATGGCTTACTCTTCCCTTTTCTCATTCTTTCTTGTTTGGAAAGGTGGTTCAGCTTTGTCTGCAGTGGAGAGATCTTTGTTGTGGTGATTTGGACGGTAGATTTTGAATCACTGCCAAATCCTTTGGATTTATTCGGGTTTGTTTTAAAATGGTTCAATAAACTCGTAATTTGCCCATCTTGAGATATATTAGTTTTGGATCCTGAATTATTAAGACAGTGATTTGCTGGTTCTGGTAATGTCAGCAGAAATGGGGTTATAGCGTAAGCAAAGTAGGATATCACAAAGATTAGTTTTCTTCGATCAGCTCGATCTGCAATGTATCCCAAGGTTATTCCCCCGATCGCAGTGGAAAGTGGCGAAGCCCCTTGAAGAATACCCGAGTACGTTGAAGAGAGACCAATTTGTCGAAAGTATACCACTGCAAATATGAAGCGAAGAAGGAATGTTCCAACAAAGAAGACAGACAAAGCTTTGGCCATAAATGCAGTTGTCTTTTTCCCTTCTTTTTCCATTTTCCCAACTCGACGACGGTCTTTCACTGCGATTTAAAAAATGTAATTGTCAATTACAACAAAKCTGCATTCATTAAGTAATAGGTAAAAATGACTTTTGTTTTGCTAGTTTTTAATKTCGTACATGAAAGTACATCGAAGTTGTGGCAGTTAGAAGAGACTAAGCGATTTTCTGACCATGGCACAATGGTTGCCCTATTTAACCTCAAAATTTCTACTGGCTGCGTTTTCACTTTGGTTATTGAAAATGAAGCTCATGTATACGGCACATTATCTTACAGTATCAATCATTATTTCCCATCAATTATTAGCAAAACCCAATCGCAATCGCCGTTAGTTGACATTTTTCGACAGTGGTTTAAGACGGGTAATTGTGTTAAGAAGGTCTACAATTGTAGAGTTCGAGTCCAATAGGGGCATTTATCAAAAGACTTTTTCGGCAATTCTTTAATCGGTAATTGATKGCTGTAGCTCATCAAATGTAAGATTTGCAAAAATCCACTAGAATGGGAATATACTGAATATAATAGTCGTTTATTCCTTTTACTAGTAATCAGTTTTCACAAGTTTCGAACGCATTTCGTATGAAACGTACATGATGGTTCCTATAAAATGACGATAATAAATTACAACGATAAACTAGCTAAATACTTGAAAAAACGTCGACGAAAAAACTATACTTACAAAACGATGTGTGTGCGCTCAGACGGTAAACGGTAAAAGAGGACGATTATGCAAATGTAAATGATTTTAACTTAACTACAATACACTAGGGACTAACGTGACGTGACAAACTAAATACATATAACAAAGAAAACAAAAATTATTCTATCGCCGTTACACTAAATACAGATACAGCCTGCTATATATAATCCAGTAATACTTAGAACATTGGAATTTTTTCCGAGCGCACCGGAATCAATTCATAAATCAATGTGTGCAATGAAAAGTAGTGTTGATCTTTGATGTGTTTCCATATAAGAACAACTTTCATTTTTCAGACTGAATATGTTCTTATATAGATGGTACCTTATTTTCTATATAAAATCAGGCCTGGGCAAATTCTGTTAGTATTTAAAGGGAAAGTAAATGTGACCGCACAGAAGGAAAGCGCCATCTGGGAGCTGTAATTGGATCAATGTCTTATAAAAATCAGTACTGCAACGAAAATTTATCCAAATGGGAAGAAGAACTTAAGTTATTATTGGAAATCGCTAAAAGCTACCCACACGTAGTGCAYTAGTATTTGGTACCAATGGAGGCATGGGGAAAAATTGTCAAATGTTTATTAAGACCCTGGMAAAAATTCGTACAGCAGAACAGTTATTTAGAAGAACAGACCATTCAATGCATTATTGGATTTTTCATTTTCGTTTTCGTTTTCTAACTTCAGTTGGTTAATGCAGAATTATTCAATTCTCGAGCTCTGATAATGACGACACAATAATGACAGAAAACAACACAGTTTTACATACCCTCCCAAAAGATTATAGATATTAAAAAATTGTAATTGTACCACAAATACTATATAGATATAGTTAATTACCTTATAACAATTGATGAAGGATCGCGTAAAAATGTCCAAACTGAGAATCGTGTCTTAGCAATTCGGAGAGCTGCATGAATCAAGGTCTACAGTACAGTAGCTGCCGCGTTTTGCCTCGAGGCCTTGAGTCCATTGTCACGGAAACGCGGAGACATTTATAGTACGTATATGTTATTTGTAGTACTTATCTTTTTATTAAATACAATATGCCTTCAGGAGGAGCCGACAGGGTCTATTCTTCTAAATAACTGTTCTTGTACGAATTTTTCCTCGGAAAGGGATTTTGAGCTACATTGTTGACAATCTAACAATCAAATGTGGCGCCCTTTCTTCTTTAAAATTAGTTTGTTCAGGCTTGTATAACGTTTTTATGGTCAAAAATTGCTTATATTTTTTTAATTGTGAAATTTTTATTTTCCTGGCAAAAATTATTAGGAAGAATTCCTTCCCTGGAGAGTTCTTTTTTCCTGAATTTCTCTCTGGCAACCGGTTGTGACTTACAGCTGGCTGGGACATAAGAACAGATATTTTTCTCCCAGGAAACCGCGGCTCCTTCTAATAATTTCAGATATATAKTTCTATGTTTATTCACAACAACAGACGCCATATATAGTAGCATCAATTAAAATGCAAAACGAAGTGTTAAAATTCTTTACATTACAAATCTGACAAATGGTTGCATAAAAACTTCGAATCAAGGGGATTCTAATAAATTTTTGATGCGAAAATACAAATGTGTCATGGACAGTTATAGAGTAAGTGACTGTGCAATAATTACCAGGAGGGGAGGCGTAGAACCAGATTTCTTAAGAAGAAAATTAGCTAGAGCCACCCCTCCGAAGCACAAGAAAATAGCTCTTACCCCCCCCCCCCCCTGCTCTATTAGATATTAGAAATAACGTCGAACGAAGCCAGGAGGAGCTGACAAGCAAATGTTGTGCCCTTGCTTCTTTCAAATAATTTTGTTCCTGGCAAAAGGTTTTCAAGGTTCAAAAAAGGCTTATGTAACGTTTTTATGGTCGAAAACGACTTTGATTTTTTTTGTGCTTGTTACGTCTAATAAATCATCAATATGTTTTTGTTTTTCAGCTTCTACATCTTCAATTTATGTGAAAACTACCTTCTCAATTTATGTGACAAAATTGAAAAAATCAATAGTTGAAAAAAAATTCATATCTTGGTCAATTTCAGTCACACATCAACGAGTCTTTGAATTTAGATTTCCATTAGTCAGGCGCGTAGCTAAGCGTGGACTTTTTATGCACATTTCAGGGACTGCGACACATATTTTGGATCTGGGGGTCTAACGAACGCCAAAGGCGGGAGTATTAAGGGAGTCTGGTCCTCCCCCAGAAAAATTTGAAGGAAATATTAACTCTTGCTTCTTATGGTCATCACCTTTAGAAGAAGCGAAATGAACTGTAAAAATCGTAATGAGCCATCCAGTGCCTGAGATGATGGATGTCATATAGAGTACCAATTTAAAGTCGGCGACAGATTCTCCACATATTTCAACTGTTTTAAAATATGTCAGAATTGCAGCAAAAGGGATAGCTACCGTTTGTGCAATGTTACACCAGACACGAACTTTGCCATACTGCTTTTTGTCCTCATAAGCAGATAGCATAATGTTYTCGGCAAGATTAAATGATGCTCCTGCAAAGAAGTCGCAAGTTATTGTTATAATARGCAAGACTATGAAAAGTCTTTTTATGTCACTGTTTTCTTTGGATGTCGATATGTTCATCATTTTAGTGAGATTCCTCGAAAAAGACCAACCACTTCCAAGAGAATGTGCAGTTGACCTGAGTTCATCAGTAGGCAACAAGTCTGCATCTTTGACCAAGTTGTCTAGGTGTATTTCTAAGTGTACAGTTTTAAGCTCATCCTGACTTTGGATTAGTGCCTTAGCTAGTTCAGGAGAATCTGGCTGATATGTTGTTCTGTTTTGGTGTAGGATGACTGAGGAATTTGTTAATGGATTATTATTTAGACAATGATTTGCTGGTTCTGGTAATGTGARCAGGAATGGTGCTATAGCGTAAGCAAAGTAGGACATCACAAAGATTGGTTTTCTTATATCAGCTTGATCTGCAATGTATCCAAAAACGATGCCCCCGATTGCTGTGGAAAGTGGCGAAGCACCTTGGATAATACCCGAATATGTTGAAGAGAGGCCAATTTGTCGAAAGTATACCACCGCAAATATAAAGCGAAGGAGGAAGGTTCCAATAAAGTAGCCTGCTACAATTTTGCATGTGATTACACTAGTCTTTTTCTTTTCTTTGGAGGCACGGGTGGTCTAGTGGTTAAGCTACTGGCCTCTCACCGCTGTGGTCCGGGTTCGATTCCCGGACACGGACCATATGTGAGTTTGAGTTTGTTTGATGTGTTGTTCTCTCCCTTGCCACGAGGGTTTTTCTCCGGGTCCTCCGGTTTTCCTCCCTCAGCAAAAATCAACATGTGAGGAGTGTTGTGTGCTAAAATACTTAATGTAGAGGTAGTGAGTGTGAGAGTACAGGGTCCGCAGTAATTGGCTCACGCTGTTGCGGTGTCCCTGCCCATACTAGGGGAAAAGCTAATAAATTAAAAAATTAAAAAATCATAGACTTTCTCTCACTGCAATTGAGAAAAATTTGTTACAAAGAGAAAATTATAGGTCAAAAAAGATATTTTAATAGAACTGTTGGCTATAGAACTCTTGATCTATATTCGCATGATGGAACGTTTATGAAATAAGTTGAATGAGAGTTGAAGCACTTTTATCCATAAAACGAATAGTACTAATTACCACTAAACAATTTTGATGAGGCATGGAATATAGAAAACAACGAAATTATACTAACAAAGGTATGACAATCACCTATAGATAAAGCTAATAAAGCTAATCAAACGACAATGTTTAGATAAAGGACTGTATGAAACAAAAGGTAATGCCACACTGTGTTCCGGTTTGTTGACATAYACTATTAATACAGACATATAAATACTACTTAACGTCTCTAATTCAAATCAAATATTTTTTGTAGTTAATTTGTATTTGAAATTGTCCGGGTTTTTTTCGAATTTAACAAATATTCATACTTTTGGCGTAACGATGGACATCGCCTCTTTGCGTAACAATAATTTATTCACCGGAYGAAACACGCCGGGAGATTTGGCGGGAAGCAGTCGTGCTAAAACCTAATTTTAAATTAAAATGAAAAGCGGAATTACGACCATCACAATGTACAATAACGTCAGAAGAACACTTTAGTATCTTTTTATAATTTTGGGTAAAAGCAAGTTATAAATGGTCCGCTTGGAGATATAAGTGTTTCATCTTCTCGTGCTGAAAAGCTTTTSAATATTCTTGATCCGTATCTCCGCGTGTCCATGAAACATCCTCTATATATTCATAATATCTGCTGATATAACATCAAAATAAACATATCCAAAACAACCGAGTAGCAGTTCAAGAAATCTTATCTTTCAGTGCATATTTGAAAAAAATAAAAATAAGCAGTTACAGGAACATATAGCTTGGAAAAATATTACGCTAAATATTTACGTGTGTCATCTGTATAACGCACAAGTAATAAATATTACTCAAAAGGAGAGACTGATCCMACAAGTCGTAGTGTTCGCTCCTTTCGGTTTGTAGCTCAAACTAGCGGCTCGATCAACCGAGCTGAAATTTATCTATTGAAGATTGTTTAGTAGACTGGTACCGAGTGTGAAAATAGTCCACTTATTGAAAACTAAACCTCCCCTATGAGAGGTGAGGGTGAGGGTATAAATTGTTCACTCCCAGCCTCGTTTTCAAGCACTAGCATTTTTGCACCGTAAAATTTAAGTTATTATTTTTCCGCTTATTTTATTTTATTTTTTTAATATAAATGGTAAATGTTTAGTTTAATCTAGAGTTTTGTGCTTTCTTCTTAACAGTGGGTTCTTATTGATGGTTTTCAACCATTCCCAGGAGAGAAAGTTAAACAAAAGATGTCCGCCATTGTTGGTGGACCTGACAAAAGAAAACCACCACCGTGACTGGTGGACCTTTTTGTTTTGCTCACTCTCATGGGAATGGTTGAAAACCATCAATTGTAACCAATCAATCATGAGACAGCCAACATATATTCCTTTTATTGCACTTATATAAGAGAGAATTCTTTCTAATCTTGCTCTAGCTCGGACAAAACGTCACGWTAAGGGATCTCGGGGTTCATTTCTTTTTTTTCACGAAAATTTGTTTTTGAAGTATAAGTTGATAAGTCACGGTCAAGTCTTTGAGACTTTTGTTGCCAAATGATCAATAGCGCAACAGTTTGGAATCTCAGCTGAAACCAGCGTGCAACTCGATAAAGAATTGTGATACTTCCCTAAGTATCTACATTATTTTGATGAAATTAAACAAATAAGATAGAGATTCATCCGACGCATTTATCTTGCAAAACGGTTGGCAAGTGGGAAATAAGAGCTACAAATTTTGCAAACGGACCGACAAGATATCGTGGCGATGGATCTACATTTGCTACTGCATCAACAACAGCGTTAATGACGAGATGGACATCAGGGCTGATTCCTTTCGATAAGGCCTCTCTTCCCCTGCCATCGCGCACTGAAAAAAAAATCATGATATGGAGAAGTTAGTTTCCTCGGTCAAAGAACGGATGACATAGTAAAACATGCCTTTTTGTTTAGCTGACAATAGTGTTTGCTAGTGTACTGCATGCATGTTCCATTGTTTTTGGAATAGTAGCAACGAATGATTCAGTTAGGAAAATAACTTAGGCTCAAAAAGTAAAACATCACTAATAATGATGTTTTAAGATATTAAAATATCTTTTAAATGAAAGGATATCGTTAGAAGAAGAAAGAAAGAGATCATGACAGGATGAACAAATGAGACAAGGAATTTCTTTATAACTGACAGTAATCTGCAGATAGGGTCCCCTTTTTGGAGCTCCAAGTCTGGGTTAGGGTATCATTTTTTGCCTATTTGTGTGGGAAAGTGTAGTATTTTTGTCTGGGATAGGGTAGTATTTTTGTCTAGGATAGGGTATAGTCTCATTGTCTGGGGTAGGGTGGAGTTTTGCCTGTGATCGTATCTGATGAACCACGCTTTCAGCGCTAAAATAATGTACCTTTGTACCTTTAGTCTGGGRTGGTAGGGTATGTAAAATCACAAAAATTGGTCTGGGATAGGGTAAGGGTTTTGAGGCTCGTGCGGCACACTCAGGGCACTGCTCAGTACTAACTGAAAAGTCATATCATTTTTGCACAAAGGCCAGTCCGCACTGGCAGTTTTGCTACGTATATTTTTGTGGCAATTTTGTCTTAAATTTGCGAAAAGACGTTACGTAGGCTCATCACCTCATTTTTTCTGAATATAAAACATAACAAGTTAATTCTATGTAATTTGCTAGGATCGAAATCAACGCAAACTTCGCCAATTCTTACTTTTGGTGAAGATTTCGCGATACTCCTTTTTGATTTCATCATTGACACCATCCCACAAACGATCTAACTTCTTTTCAAACATTTCATCCAGTAGTGGAGTTTCAAAGCCCTGTGGCTCAATAATGCACACTTTGACTTTCCATCTTTTCATTTCACGGCGCAAAGTGTCAGAGAATGCTTCCACACCATATTTGGCAATGCAGTAGGGAGCCATGTTGTTCCARCCCACTAATCCTGTTGGTAAAATCAAGAATAAACTCGTGTATTATTATACCAACGGTGGTTCATTCAAATCAATGAAGATGAAAGCCCACTTTTAAGAAACTTTTAAAAAACGACGAGCTGCCGCAACAAGTTGTGAACCAATGTGTCAAATATGTAATCTTTGTATAATTCTAGAATTGAATACAGAGTTTTGGGGGGTTGTGAGCGGTGCAGCCAATATTCGACTCTAGGTGTATACAAGATTTTCGGAGTTTTGCTTTGTGTTTCTGAATTTTGTTCGCTAAAAAAGTCATCATAATTGACAGAAATGATGTGAATGATAATTATATATGTAAATGTTGCTTAGTTATACGCTTTACTAGTAACAGGAGGAGCCGACGGGGTCTGTTCTTCTAACTAACTGTTCTTGTACGAATTTTTTCCTGGGAAAGAGGTTTTGAGCTACATTACTGACAATCTCACAAGCAAATGTGCCCCCCTTTCTTCTTTAAAATAAGTTTGTTCCTGGCAAACGTTTTTAATATCAAAAAGCCTTACATAACGTTTCTATGGTCAAAAACGACTTATATTTTTTTTAGTTAAGGAATTTTTATTTTCATAGCAAAAATTCTTAGAAAGTATTCCTTGCCTAGAGAGTTTTTCTTCCTGAATTTCTCGCTGGCAACCAGTTGTGACTTACAGCTGGCTKGGACATAAGAACAGATATATTTTTTGAGTAAAGTCTTTAAATGTTTGMTTGGGAATTTGTTTACTTAAAAAGCTATGTTGCAAAACTGTTCTAGTTGTTGTTGTAGAGTCTCGTTTGAAAAAATAACATTGAAAAAACTTTGTTTAAACATCATTTATTGAATCCTTGCAGTTCAAGTGGCCTAAATGTTGTCAAAAAATATATTTTTGTACACAGCAGCAATTGGAGCAAGCTCGATATGTAGGAATTACACATAACATACCTAAAATGCTTGAAAAGTTAACAATCCGTCCTTGAGCCTTCTTCACCAATGGCAGAAATGTTTTGGTCACTTCTATCAACCCCSAAAGGTTTACATCGGCCATTTTTCTGAAGTCTTCCATTTTGTACCATTCTATTGGACCAACGGTCATGAAACCGGCATTGTTCACCACTGCCCATATACCTTAAAACACCAAATCACTGACTTYATTTAGGCTATTTATACATATTTACTTACATACACCTGCTTTCAAGATGTTGTCGTTTACTTGGGTAAAAAAATCCAATATGGSTGTTCATTTTGTACAATTCTTTTGGACCAATGGACATGATACCGTCATTGTTGTCTTGACAACTGCCCACATACCTTTGCACGAATTTTATTTAAGATCCAATTAACAGTAACTATATGGATAGCTAGAAGTTACAATGAGACAAAAAAATACAACCTCAACCTGAATTCTATGCAACTCAAAACAAACTCTTCATATACGGTATTCATTTGACTAAAARTCAGTGATGGAAATGACACCAAGAAGTAAGATAATAATTATTTTTGGAATACACGAGAATGACGACTTTCAAAAATGGCGATATTTCATATCCGCGAAGCGGGGGACTAGTGACGAATCATGTGGCGATTCGAGACATCAAAAGCCATCTAAAAAAGCAATAAGATCGTAAGTATTTAAGATGCATAAGTACGTTGTTATAACAAAGCATTCTTGCAAAAAGACGCCATCGATTTTGAAGCCTCGTTTTAGTGATTCGTCCTCGGTACAGCAGTCGGCGACCACGGAATATCGCGTCATTTTTGAAAGTAGCGAATGTTGCTTGCTGTCAAATACCGAAGTGGAATAAAGAGAAAACTTCTATAAGATTCTACAACTAAAATTCTGTTCTAAATACAGTTAATGTCGAAAAACAATTGTGTGCAAAAGAAGAAGAAAAAATGACCTGAACGAAATATAAGCCCTCTGATCTGACCCTAAAACATTAGGATGTTTTGGTGTTTGGAAATCATGTGATAGATCAGGGCAAAGAACCCCAAACTCGCCCTTTCGATCTCAAAGTGAGAACCCATGAACAGCTATGGCAGTCAAATAAATAGTGATGTAGTCGAAATTACTTAATATCGTAGATTACCTTTATCATCCACAATGTCCTTCGCCTTGACAAAGACGTCATGAATCTGTTTGGAGTCAGTTACGTTCATTAACATACCAACCAAACGATCACTACAAACTGATTCAAGGTTTTCTTTGCCTTCTTTTGTAAGACAAGTGCCAATCACATGGAATCCCATCTTGTCCAAGCGAATAGCAGACATCCTTCCAAATCCCGAGTCGCAGCCAGTGATTAAGACAAACTTGTTTTTGAAATYGCTTACTAGCGGTTTTGGAAACAACCATTTTAGAAAATACCATGCCACAAAAAGTGTTAATATGAATGTCAGGATAAGCGCACAAAAATGGATGCTGTTCATGATATACAGAGKGAAGATACCTGAAACTGTTTTTTACTTGTAATCAATTCTTTCGTAACCAAATCTGATGATAAAATGTCAATTGAACCTAAGGGCAAACAGATGTCATGTATTCTCTWTCCATTACCTTCTCCAAAGAGACCTATGGGAATATGTTGTTGTTTTTATATTTATGTTGTAGTTTTATTATTTAATCCATTCAGTACACTGTATTACAGAATGACTGTTTTTAACCGGGCGTTAATGTAGGCTAGCAGTGCGCACTTACTTTAAAATGCTGACCCGTGCGACATAAATAAACTAAAATATGCGCTCCCTTAGATTAAAGAGAGAGCAGTTTAGATCTGAGAAAAATATTTTTTCTCAGTAACCCATGAAAAGCGTCTTTAAAATAAAAACCACTCTATCAGAATTGAATAGTGAGAGTCAGACTTGAAAGAAATGGCCTTTTTTGAAAAACAGTTAATGATATTTGTGGTGATTAGTCAGCCATCTATATTTCATGGCTTTTTGACGGGGGGTATGAATGCCGAGTTTAGTGCGAAGTGATTTGACCAAAWCAGCAACTTAAAAGGGGCTGAAAATAAGAGAACTGAACCGAAAAYCATTTAAAATATAGCGTGTTTAGAGTAGAATTAGTTATTTGAATTGCAATGGCACGACTTTCAAAAATGGCGCAGTAGTTCGCGACCGCCAATATATCGGGGGACTAGTGACGAATTTTGGAAACGAAACTTCAAAGGCCTTACATCTAGAAATCACTACTAGAAATCACTAAGGTCGCATGTATGGCAATGTCCAAAAGTTTTAAAAATGTATTGGTATGTTATTTCTTTCAAGAAACCATCGAAGTGTACTATACGGAGGCTGGCCTTTGAGACCTCGTTTAAGCGCTTAATGTCCCAAATGCCTTGGTCGGCGACCGTGACATATGGCGCCATTTTTGAAAGTCGTAAATAAACCATTCATATCTCATTTTGGACACCAAACCAACGTCACTGATTGTTAAAACCTAAGAGAACAAACAGCGATATTTAATCTAAACATTGATTTGGATTATTTGATACGAAGCTAAAATCCTTAAAAGGTAGAAAGTTCTTCATCCTCCGAGGCGTCTATCTTGTATCGCGGTGGGCAAATGAGCCACAAAAGCACACAACTTTGCTAATTGACCAGCACGATATCGAAGAGAGGGATCTTTGGCTGCAACTGCATCTRTAATAGCATCAACAACCAGTTGTGGTTTAGGGTTGGTCGATTTTTCGAATGCCTTTTGAAAAACTCCACGTACTACAAAAGAAAGAAARAAATGCATACAAGATTGGTTAACGAAAATAATAAAATATTGAAGGAATATTTGAAGGAGCGTTGGCGTTCGGCGAGAATTCAGTTGCCGGCTATTTAGGGGCGTGTGCAAGGAGAATTTCCAGCTGGAAATAAATCTTTGACTTGAAAATTGCATTGATTTGACAAAAAATGCCTCATATTTCAAGTAAGGTGATAGGGAGGCTTACCAAGATTTTTCAAGAATTTAAAAAGATGATTCAAAAATTTGTCAAAGGGTAATAAAGGTGTCCAGCTAAACCCTTGATCCCAAAGTACTCATATGCTAGTATCGAATTTCCATATGCAACACAAACACATTCCAATTCCCATCCCCACCCAACCTAACAAATGCTGCGTCACCCCTGAAAGACTGGACTTATAATTGTTGAAATGCTGGTTTAAACTGCGGTGAATAAATGTGTTAGGAAATGTGATCGTCTCAGTGAAAGAATAATCTAAGTGATTATGAATAAATGTATCGCACGGAACAATTTCGGACATCAACAGGAATCGAACCCGTGACCTCTGCGATGCCGGTGCAGTGCCAGTCCAGTGCCAGTGCAGAACTTATAGTTATACAGAGACTAGAAGAAGTAGTCTCTTCCCGCCTGCACCTAAACGAAATTAGGAAAAGCTGCTGGGATCGAGTTTGGTATTAATTGAGTGTGAAGCGCTCATGCATTCTCTGGTTATAGTGAAAAAAAAAAAGAATAAATTGCATACACTGAATGTAAGTAAAGSAAAAATGTAACGAACAAATAARACGTTTTAGCAAAGTYAACATACAGAAATCATCGATGAATCTTTCTCCATATTCTTGTTTGATTTCGTCATTCGCTTCATCATACAAGTTTTGAAGTTTTTTGCCAAAAACTTCATCCAGTAATGGAGTCTTAAAGGCCTGTGGCTCAATAATGCACACTTTGACTTTCCATCTTTTCATCTCACGGCGCAAAGTGTCAGAGAATGCTTCCACACCATATTTGGTAATATTATATGGAGCCATGTTGCCAGCACAAATAATACCTGGAAAAAGTAATAACATAACATGTATCTATGTCTTTACTTTGGCAATTTCTCATTGCAAACGTAAAAGCAAAGGTCACCTCAATTCCGAATATCGATTTATAGCGCTAAGGTGCTTTTGCAGCGTTTGTGACTGAAAATCACTGTGRATATTAAAATTGCGTTCGAAAAAAAATCATTTAGTCGAAACAATAGTATTGACTGCCCCTGATTGGTGAATATTATGACCAATAATCGATTACCCATAGTGACTTTCGATAAAGTTTCTAGTGGGTCAGAAAACCATGTATGAAATAGTAGGTATATAAAGTAACGCTCAAATGAGAAATGTACCAGCAACACTAGCGAGGTTCACAATCCGTCCTTCAGCCTTCTTCACCAATGGTAGAAATGTTTTGGTCACTTCTATCAACCCCCAGAGGTTCACATCGGCCATTTTTCTGAAGTCTTCCATTTTGTACCATTCTATTGGACCAACRGTCAAGATTCCGGCATTGTTCACAACTGCCCATATACCTTAAAACAGCAAATTATTGACTTCATTTAGGCTATTTACATAACATATCAAACAATTGTCTGACATTCGTGCGGTCTACCTGTGTTTATTGTGGGATCCCTTAATTTCAAAGATGGGAGGGATTAGAACAAATTTATAATGACCAACATGTTTAAAAGCAATTTCTCTGAAAATTCTGTTTTAGCCATTTTAAAGCACTAAAATGTTGAAAAAACGTGAAAAAACTTTCCAACGTACTTCCTTATAAGGTAAGATTACAGATAATTATCTATGAAATACTTATATTTCTTCAGTTCGTTACTAAGTTGATATTTTCACTAGTGAAAATTTCACATTCAAGGTTGTTTTTTTTATATAGTGGAAGTAAGAAAAACGGGTATTTTATGACATAATTTGCTTTCATATGTGATTATATGATAAATAGAATATTACATGGTTGCGCGCCCATGTAATATCCTCTATATATTATTACCATAATCTTATATTACCATATAAAATAACCATAGACTGTCAACGAAAATATCAACAATCAATGTTAGTCATCAACGCAGCTTTGCATATGAGACTGTCGCGACATTGGTTATGAGTAATCCGCACGCTCGCGCGTCTTGCATGAATATTATGGCTTAGCTGATCAGTCCAACTAAATATGCAGTTAATTATTAATAATAATAAAGAAAACTATACACTATATAAAAAATATATCATATTGTCAATTTTTTTTGAATAATATTCAAAACAAAATCATTTAATTCGCTATTTTATCTTAGAAATTCTATGCATGACTTGTTGTTTTTATAACTGTCGAACAACGTTAAAGGATTGACTGTGAGTGGCTTACATACTTCTTTGGCAACATAAAAACACAATTACTAAATGAATGGATACTTGTTACTTATGCCTTTGAATATAGCTGATAATTGGTATTGTGAAGTGGTAYGCAGACCTACAATCTCTTAGACTGAATTGCGTGACTAAATACGAGYAGTGTCAACAATAGAATCAAGCGAGTATCATGCAATGCAAAAGTCGGTTTCAAAATTCTATAAGTTTTATGCACTGCGCTAAGAACTCTGTTCACCACTAGTATGCAAGCAATCGTTTGAAATTTACGATTAATGCATCTCTCTCTTTCGTTTTGCATTTTATTAATTAGTTACTTTACCAGGGTCTATGATAAATTGTTGATTGATTTACTGAGTTTCTAACTATAGCACCGTCATTAGTTGAGTGTTCTGATTTATGTGTATAGCGTATAATATTTTGCCTGTAATCAAATTTATCATATTAAGTGCAGATTTTTTTAGAATTTGTTATAGGAAGTCGCATACYGCAAATGAACATGATACGTMTTAGTCACTGACCTGCAATATAAGGCAACTCGCAAATAACTGACATGATTWGCAAAGAACTGCCATAACTGCACATCCAGAAMACATTTTAACTTTTATATATAGTGMAAWGGGTACCTTTTTCTTTCACGAGGKCTTTAACCTTGACAAASACGTCATGAATCTGCTTGGAGTCAGTCACGTTCATTAACATACCAACCAAACGATCACTASAAACTGATTCAAGGYTTTCTTTGCCTTCTTTTGTCAGACAAGTACCAATCACATGGAATCCCATCTTGTCTAAGCGAATAGCAGACATCCTTCCAAAWCCCGARTCGCAGCCAGTGATCAGAACAAACTTGTTTTTGAAATCGCTCACTTGAGGTTTTGGAAGCAGGCATTTTAGAAAATACCACAAYACAAGCAAGGTTACGACGGAAACAGGCACAAGGACGCAGAAAAGTTCACAATTCATGGCGTATCAATTGGTTATTTTAGGGAAGTTACAGTTCGTGACTCTGTGTCTAAATTGTCACAGCCTTCTGAAACTACGCTGCATTCATTGGACAATAWGCTGTCACTTATCGGTCGATAGATCGAGAGCATCATGTATCCAAATTATAATACTTCTATATCGTATAGTGCAAATTAGCAAAGTTAAAAATACCTGTTCAAACAAGGGTTGGTTCCCACTTAAAAAGAATACAGTTTTTTAAAAACGTTGTGCACAATACTGTRGTTTCTAAAACTATTTTAATATGAAACTAATCGTATGAGGAAGTGGCTGATCCCAATATGAATAATATGAAACTATGGACGCTCTTATATAGCGCATACTCGTGCCCTGATATGCCTCGATTTTGTAACTCACATTGATGTTTCCACAATCCAGCGTAAAAAGAGCGTAAAAAATGCCTCGTCTATCAATAGTTCTCATACTCATTAATCATTCATCATCCAATTGTAATTTGTAGGCCACGTGCAGTAGCTGGATACCAGAGGCCAGTACTCCTGCCTTGTATTCTACCTTATTTCCAGTTACATTCACCTTGTTCCAGTCACTTCTACCTTATTTGCAGTTACTTCTACCTTGTTTCTAGTTATTTCTACCTTTTTCTAACTACTACTAGTTAATGATAGTCAAATTTTCAGAAATAATCAATTAAATATAGAATTAATTTAGTGAAAAAATTAAGGTCTTTCATACATGACTGCCTCAAGAAACGATCCCGAAACAGTCTCGCACTGGAACTAATTGCGCGGACTTGAAATCCCGTCCAGTCCTCATTGTCGGACTTCAAACATTACATGGAATACCATAGAGTGCTCGCACTAAATGCGTGAAATATAAATATTACAAAATAGGTGATAAATTATACAAATTCCTTTGTTTCCTATTGTATAATAAAAACTATTTAGTAGTAATTAGTACAATTTGTTTCACGATTTAAGTGCGAGCACTCTAAATACACAGAAAAAGTAATACATTATGCTGCGATTGGGAAAAGGGAGGTGAAGCTTACCAGTCGGACGCTAATCTTTCGTCTGAGTAATGATGAAAGTGTGAGTTTATACAATAATAATAATAACAATAATAATGCAAATTTATAAAACGCAAGTATCCGCAAGTTCATATGCACTTAACAAATCAGAAAATTCCAGTATAGCAATAATTATATCACGAACCTCAATTTTAATATTTATAAAATTTTTAGATATATAACGCGCGCTTTGATTGGCTGACGACCGTGTTTATATCAGAGGACAGAGACACTGCTTACCGGCAAAATTTTGTAAAAGAAATATAAAACGGCCGCTTGTGTCTCTGTCCTCTGATATAAACACGGTGGGAGTTGAAAAACACCCGAGAAGCAAGAGAAACATTCTCGAACTAAAATACAAATTACACTTAAATACAAAAAAACACTTAAATACAATTACAATGAAATACATTTTTTTAATCATTTCAACATGTACATGTTTAAAATACAAAAAAACAAACAAATTTTACATTAAATATTAATTATATTATATCAGAAACCTATAAGGCACTTGAAACTTGTAGCGCCTGTTTATTTCTTTACCAAGCGTCGGAATATTCAAACTTCATTAGAAATTCGAAAACGAACGTTATGACCATATTTGGAAAATTCTGCCTTTGGATAAGAGATTTTTAAAAGGCCCGTTCTGGTTGGCTAGGGTAAATTGAATTGTTCCAAATAAGGAAATGAGATGCAAATTAGATTTGAATATTCCAATGGATGGCACGGCGTTACACGTTTCAAGTTCCTTATAGGTTTCTGATTAGTACATTATATATACTGAAACTAGAAAAATAAGAGACCAACAAGAGCAAGGTAAACATGGTAACATGGCGCGTCCTAATCTAATACTCCAATTTCTAATTCTCTTTTGTGCAAGCTTAGCTTCAATTAAGCATAAATTTTTATTGACTGTCTTCTTTGTAGACAGTGTATTTGTATTAAAATAGGATCTCTGCTAAATAGAAGAATATTTTACATGATTCCGAGGTTAAGGCTGCACAAATAAGTTCTAAAAATTGGAGTATTGTCTAAAGAAATATTTTCGCCTCCTTATAAGCACTATATCATGTACATGCCTACTTGCGAAAACGTTGTCATGGAAAATAGGACATTTGTATTCAGTAAAAAGGACATTTGTATTCAGTAAAAAGGAATAAATTAAAAAAGACAAAAGAAGATCACTGAGGCTGAACGTTCTCTTTTGTCTTGTTTTAATTTATTTCTTTTTACTAAATTCAAATGTTCTATTTTCTATGACAACGTTTCTGCAAGTAGGTGTATCTCATATTGATCGTTTTCAACCATTCCCATGAGACTCAAGATAAAAGACTGGCGGCCATATGTGGAGGAATAAGCAATAGATACTAATGAGAAATCTTTTGTTGAAACTCCTCCAAGATGGCCGCTGTGACGTAATTTGAAAACGAAGAATAGCCATGCGGTCCTTATACTCCACAGCGTAAGAACGAAGCCATGTTTAAAGATCACAGGCATCGTAGGCTGGTGGGCTTCGGACGAGACCCCCAACAAGCTTAAAATGTCCGGTGTTTCTCTTTTTTATTGTTCTCTTTTACTGTAAAATTCTCTTGTTATGAACTGTTTGTGCGATARTATTTTGCCAGTTCTAACACACTAAACTGTGATTTGAGCTAATTAGTTTTAAAAACATTTAATTTAGGTCCGCATTATGACAAAAACGAACCCCCGGGGGTTTGTAAAGCAGCCTACGGGCCTGGATCATGGACATTTCACTTACATGCATTTATCCTGTAAAAATGTCGGCAAATGAGAAAGAAAGGCAAAATACTTAGCAAAGAGACCGACAAGATATCGTGGCGATGGATTAACACTTGTAACTGCATCTACAAYGGCTTCAATCACCAGATGAACGTTAGGGCTTACAGCTTTCGCTAAGGACACTCGTCTGTTTTTACTGCGCACTGAAAATAAAAAATAGGATGGAGAATAGCCGATTTGCATTATGGCGTCATTTACTGCGACTACCAGAATGCTTTGCCAACTTTCTTTTATAGTGCAATTAGTGCCAATTGTTTTGTTAATCTCCGAGGGGATTAATAATCTTAATAACAATGAACATGCGCAAGGCTCTCTGGTAGTTATAGTAAAGTTTCGCCATAATGCAAATGGCTTATTAATGTCCTGTTAACCCTTTAACCAGCAATCGTACATATTTGTACGATTTGCAAAAGTCACTCTTTTTAACCATCGTTAGCACTATGGCTATTAAACTTAAAAAAATAGCATTTCTTCAGTTGAATAGCCATGTTACTTACGACGGTTTGATTGTGTTATTAATAAGTTCTATGACTGCTACACTTTATACAAGTATTCGAAAACGTGAGTCACGTGACACTGGTTCTTTTATACTTAATGAATGATTGAAAAATGAATAATGATTCGGAGTGGCCTCCGAGTCGCCATGATTGCCTGGTATTCTATCCACCATGATTGCCTTGGTATCTCTATTCACCAAAGAGCGAACCAAAGAGACGACTGAACCAAAGAATAATTAAGTATAGCTTGTGATTATTCTTAATACACAACTGCCATCGTGACGAACCAATTATAACAGTCGTTATATATAGGTATTTTATAACTTTTAAAATCATATTGAGGTACAACGCCATATGATTAACGATTATTAATCTATTGATTTTCGAACAACATTACCGGATCCAGACTTACATTGAGAATAGAGTTCTCGATATTYTGTTTTCATCTCATCGTCTACGCCATCCCACAAGAGATCTAGCTTTTTATCATACAATCCATCGTGTAATGGAGTTTTAAAGGCATGTGGCTCAATAATGCACACTTTGACTTTCCATCTTTTCATCTCACGGCGCAAAGTGTCAGAGAATGCTTCCACACCATATTTGGTAATACAATAGGGAGCCGCGTAGGTCAGGGACACTAAACCTGGTGGAGATTAAAACGTAGCAAACTTAGTTCAGTTGTGACCATCTTGYTYCTCTCTCCATTATTTATGAACTCGTTTTCATGACAATTGTGAGTATTACAGACTAAAATGATTATAGGGTTCTTTATTCAAGAATAACGGGATGCTAGGAGAGTCTGGGTACTAGAATAAGTCATKCTAAAAAGAAAAGGGAACTCTAATACATTTTACCGACGTTCGGTCTGTCAAAAGTAAAAAATAACTTCGTATTGGAGCTAGCTGGCATACCTATATCGCTTGAAACGTTAACAATCCGTCCTTCAGCCTTTTTCACCAATGGYAGAAAGGTTTTGGTCACTTCTATCATCCCCCAGAGGTTCACATCGGCCATTTTTCGAAAGTGTTCCATTTTGTGCCATTCTATTGGSCCAATGGACATGAAACCGGCATTGTTCACAAGTGCCCATAAACCTTACAGCAAGAAAACGAATTACTTTATCTATCTACTAGACAAACTAAACGGTACAATAATGATTGGTATGGTAATACTACCACCCAACTTGGGTAGGGTTGTGCCAACAGGAGCTCAAAACCTTGACTCCATCCCAGACCTAAAAGCCGAAAAATCGTACCCTATTGCGCGAGAGATACCCTTATATCAAATAAAGAGGAGTAGACCTATCGGGACCCGGGAGGGCAGAAATTTTCCATGGCTTCACACGCCCAATCATCAAATCATTCTTCTTCAAAAGAAGAAAATGAGATGAGTACTCAGCTTCCACACTCAGATATGCACACAATGAGACTCGTTAACTCTCTATATTTAAACTTTGAGTTTTTTTGGGGGACGAAACATCGATTGGCCACATCATAGAAAGCGCGGCCGCGGGGATTGGTAAAAGGATAAAAATAGCACGAGTACAGCTCCTGATGGTGGTCCGGGGAAAAGTTATCTTAGCTCATTTACTCGTTGTTGTTTTTTTATTTCAAATGAAGACTGTAACGCTGAATTCTTTTTTTTCTTAAAAATTCTATTGATTAGGCTGCATGCAGGCTAGAAAATTCCCCATTGTTTATTTTGAACCAATCAGAAAGCAACCTTCAACAGAGATTAATTGTGAAACAAAGCAAGCGATCGCAAAGTTTCTCGGCAGCACGACTAATGAATTTTAATACAGTCACGGGTGCTTTAGGGTTCCAATTGGGGCTTGACTTGACCAATGAACAATCACGTCTCTTGCTGTTGGGAGAGACTCACCGTCACGGAAGGTCCCTATATTCTTGGGTTTCATGTGATGTCACAAAAATATATATTCTCTAATATGCATCCTATGATGATGTACACTATATATGATATAACTATGGGTATAAAAAAGATATAAGAACAAAAATGAGTGTATGCAACTTTTTGGTGCTCGATTTATTAAAGATTGAATTGTGTCACGCAAGGCTGTCACGGACCTATTACTGCAGTCATCATCTACATACACAGAGCAGTAAGTTGTACCTTTTCCTCCGACAATGTCCTTCACCTGAACAAAGACGTCATGAATCTGTTTGGAGTCAGTCACGTTCATTAACATACCAACCAAACGATCACTACAAACTGATTCAAGGTTTTCTTTGCCTTCTTTTGTCAGACAAGTACCAATCACATGGAATCCCATCTTGTCTAAGCGAATAGCAGACATCCTTCCAAAWCCCGAGTCGCAGCCAGTGATCAAGACAAACTTGTTTTTGAAGTCGCTTACTTGAGGTTTTGGAAGCAGGCATTTTAGAAAATACCACAGCACAAGCAAGGTTACGATGGAAACCGGCACAAGAACATACAAACTTTCACAATTCACCATGGCGGATGCCATATTTTGCCTAGACGACTTTATCAAATTACGTGACCCGTGACTCATTCAGTCTCAATTAACTAATGCACTAGTCAGTTGAAACCCCCGACCCCCGACCCCAGGGGAATACCGGGGAGTGGTGTTAAAATAAGACATTTCCCCCGGTAGTCGGCTGTTAAAAGCACGTTAAAAACGCGTCACGTCCCTGTTCAGTGCCCCGCAAGCCCCGGGGGTCGGGGGGGGGGGGGGTTCAATTGACTAGTGCATAATCCAGTCCTGGTCTCCTTTCGCCGACCCGCTCCAGGACTTGCAGAGAAAGCGAGTCCCGTATAACTTGTATGCGCATGTTGCTTTGTGACCTCGCGTTAGCCACATAGATGTGGTGGTTGTGGTGGTGATGTGGTGTGTTGCCATGTTTTATCTACGTGAACATGCAAGAGAAAATTTGAACAAATCTACTTTCGTGACAGATGGGTTTAACACAATCAAGCAGACTAATGAAACAAAAAGAATAATGTGAACAAATACTAGTTTACCGMTAATTTATCCCGTTTATCCAATCTTGTTTAATGCATTTAAATTCCCAATCAACAAGCACGGAAAAAGTTTAAATATGAAAAACAGAGTTTCTAAGATGGTTTGTTCCCCTGCAACAAGAGCGGGTCTCAATGGGGTGGTATGCATCACGACTCACGGCTAAAAATTTGGCGATTTCACGACTCACGACTAATTTTTTCGAATCACGGTTAACTATAGATTAAGAAATTTTTGAATTACGTTTTTCATTACTTTTTCTTTTTTTCGTATGAATAGACTGCGTGACTTATTTGGCATACGGACATGGATTTTCTCTTTCAAATAAGCCGAAATGCGAAATTTCCACGAAAAAATGATTAATCATAAATATATTCATACACAAGAAAAATCCAAAAAGTGTTAGCAGGTATTGAGAACATAGTAGTGACATTGCTGCATTCCGTGTCTGACATCGGAGTTTACGAAATTTCATTAAGTGTCGCTTTTCGCGATGATGTATTCTATGCCGGGCTAAATGTGCATGGTAAAATCAGGAAGTTTGCAGCGTATTCATATTATTATTTGACTCTAAACAAAATTATAGTATTTTAAAATCGAGCAGATTTAGTTTCTTGTCACACTTAGCGTGACGCAGGCACTAAATGAGTGGGAGCTTTAAAATGTACAAAACAAATCCCAAAAATACTATCTAAGAAAGAAAAAACCTTTTATAACTAATTATAGTATTTTAAAATCGATATCTTATCTAATTACAGAAAATGTCAGAATATATGCAATGTCCGTACGAATAGAAAACATAACTCGGCCACTCTGTTTAAAAATTGATTCTCGGTTGCGCTGTAAAAACCTATTATACGTTAATGAAAAAAAGTCAATAAAAGTGCGCTTTAAAATATCACATTATAGAAATATATAGAAATAATTACTAAATGATTCTGGAGATATTGCAAACAAACATTAATGTAGGAAGCTAATCAAAGACAACAACAAAAAGAAAAAAAAAAGAAATATGAAAAAAGAAAAAACTTGAGTGGTGGGATTCGAACCCATGACCATAAAATCGAAAAAAGGTTGGGACGATTCCCCCGAGACATTCTGTGAAGCTGAGGCGGCGAATCGATTTACATTCCGGTTAGAGATTTCGGCTCTTCCATGCTATCCCGATAATTGGTCCTAACTTCGCGCTAACTAAAAAGCCAGTGAGGGAGAAGCTATCCGGCCCCTAGACACTGATGGATAACCCCTTGCACTAACTAGGCAACTATCGAAAGTAAAATGTCAAATTGGGGTAGTCTATTCGGTGAAAGTGCCAAGTGGTCTATTGTTATGTAAATGAGCGTGGACCAGTGGCGCACCGCGTTAAGGCGCTGCTTGCAAATCCAATGTAGGCTTGACGGTAGCGGGATCGATTCCCGGGACGAGACGTTTACTGATTGTGTATTTTCAGTTCTATTTTATTTACTGTTTATCTTCTTTATTTATCTATTTTTTTTTTTTGCAGAATTATTGTCATCTCTTGTGTTTGGCACTTTCCTGAGAGCCGACTGTTTTTTACGAAGTGGCTGTATGATCGACTCCCACTCAAAGTCTTCGATGTACTAACATACTAAATGAGTGCTAGTTTTGTTTTGGAGATTTTGTCGGTACATTTGTACCGCTTATTTAGGAGGGTCTCAACGGGTTTGGCGATTTCACGACTCATGCCTCGAATCACGGTTAACTAGATAACTTTCAGAAATTTTCGAAATACGTTTTTCATGTAATTTTTAAAGTCCGACAATGAGGACTGGACGGGGTTTCAAGTCCGCGCAATTAGTTCCAGTCCGAGGCGTCCGAGGCGTCCGAGTATGAGAATACTTTTTCATAATTTGTTTTGTGCTAGAGATAGTGAGTGTGGTAGCACAGTTTCCCCTTGTACGTTATAGACACTTAGTTATTATAACTTTTTATCATCACTCTCACATGTCAAATTTTGTCCGTGCTCTGACTTGTCTCAGGACCTTGCCTTGTTGGTAAGTGCGATCCATTAGAATTTTGAGGGGGTAGGGGTGGAAGAGTGAAAGATTTAGGGAAAAGAATTCCTGAACGGACCGGGGGGCCGAAAAAAAATTCTTGCAAGGAAAAAGTTTGAAAAATCTCCACTAAAGCTTTTATATTTTTAAATTTACATAGGAGTTGTCTGTCCTTCTGAGGGACAAAACTGAATCACGGCTCACGCTATAAAAAAATATTCACGCCTCACGGCTATTTTTTTCGCATTTTCAC